TCAGACAGACTATTTCACAGCTCATCAGAGTGGCTCGACTTCCGATTGCTTGAAGCCGCGATCGAAATCCGAAACACCATATAACACATTGGAAAGGGATAGATAGATAGATAGATAGATAGATAGATAGATAGATAGATAGATAGATAGATAGATATAAAATGCAAGATAGCATTAGTAAAAAGTATTAAATATATTAAATCGTTAATTTGCATAGAATTCTCGTGGCTGGGGATTACGAATCTATATATAATGGAAAAAGAAATGCCCCTGGTTATTTTCCTCTATGATTTTCATTTAAAATAACAAAATCACAAACCAATAGGCTTGCACAAAGAAATATATACACTTAGATATTAGGTTTTCAAGGGAGAACGATATGCAAAGATAATTGAAAAGTCTGAAATATTATTTACTTTTTTCCTCAGTAGCTATATATATCGTACGCTTCATACTCTTCCCAGTTCTTTTGAACAGGAGTAGATGTTTATAAATTATTTCCTGTTTAGGATCGTGTTTCTGGTTCCTTCTAAAATCTTCCAATTCTCTTTCACACCCAGTCGACCCTATATATGATTAATCAAATAGAACGGTCATCGTTTTTTAGTGGATTAAGTGTCCGATGTTCATATTATTATTAACAGCTTCGACATTATTATTCAGAACTTCAACAGCTTAACCATAAGTTGAAAAAAATATTAAATAATTCTTTTCTGTTTAATCAAGCATGAATGGTTGCTGCTTCAAATATACTATATATATATATATATATATATATATATATATATATATATAGTTGTATTGATGTGAGTTTGTTACCCTGCGCTTCACGTTCTTGCCATCTGACGATCGCAAGAACATGGAGCCCAACGTCACAAACTCACATCAATCCAACGAAATATGTTAGCTCTATCTCTGATATTGAGCGCTTTCAAATAAGTATGATATATTGCACATACATATATATATATATATATATATATATATATATATATATATATATATATATAACACTCACACACTTTTCATATAAGCCAATATATTATATAGCAATTCATTGAGTCTATAAATAGGCCGTTTCGTTTTATTTGGTGGTCATCCGTTGTGCGCATCTACTAACGAGAATCGATCCCGAACCATTACGATACAAAGCAAGCGTCATACCCCTGGACCAACGGGCTTCGATGCAGAAGAATAAACAAAACCATCTCGATATAGTGTCGCTACTCACTAAATTCCGTGGTGATATTCAAACAAGTATAGGCAACCCAACGAATTGTACCCTCAAAGCCCCTCCATCCAATGCATTAGAAGCTGGATCAAGCAAGTATATACAAGTGATAAAATTTTAGTCTAGTATGTTTCTTCTTCGCTACCATGGTCCATTCATCCAGAGGTAGGACGCTGGGGTTGTATTGCAACAGTCCAGTTCCAATTCTACGCACTGCTGATGAGTAGCTAATTGGACAAAATGGCCGTTCATTGCTTCTGCATTCTTTGAGGATTATTCTAAACTTCTTGTACTCCCTTAGCCCTACCAAACGGAACATTTTTGTATTCCCTTTTGTACCTAAAGCGGGTACTCGTGTGCTACTTGTAAAATATTGATTTAATATGTCTGTTAATGAAATTTGAAAATTAAAAAAAAATAAAATCATAAAAAAAATATTGTAAATAAGATTGATTTGATACAGTACTTTTATTTTGGTACTGTTCTGTTTTTTGTGATTCTGTAGCGCCAGACACAATGTTCAAAGAAAAATGATCCTTTCCGCAGGCCCTCAAGATTCCTTCGCTCATTTTTTTTTTTTAACATTTATCTTAGGAAGCGGTTGTATACAAGTGATAGATTGAATTTCTGTGACCGATTTTGGTAACATGCGTTACATGTATATCAAAGATTCCAACTGAGAAGATTATTTAAGAATATGAGTCGTGTTTTTAGGTTGAGGTTTGGGTTACGTAGCAATTGGTGGTATTTGGCGAAACTTCCACTGGCACAGCCTATTCTATATTCAGTTTCTTTTTCTCCTATTCTTAATATGTTACAGCCAATCCATACGTCGAATTATCTGAAGTCCGTTTTTATTAATAATTCCACATCCTGGATTATTTACGATGAGTTGAGGGTAGGTGTTATCGCTGCATTCATTCCAATCCCAGATCATAGGCACTGCTTTAAGAATAGCACAAAAAGTAGAAAACGCAAAATGAATGTGCAAAAAAATAGAAACTTTGATTTTCCCAGCAATAAATTAATTTTACTGGTTGATGTTGCAAATAAAATCATCGATTAAAAATGTAAAATATTAAGAACATTGCTCAAAATATAGGAAAACCACTGATCCACAATCTTTACTTGAACATAAAAAGAATATAAGTTTAACGAAGGAATACTTGAAACGTGATCCCCCTGAGTAATTATAAGTTTTGAATATTACAGAATATTTGATAGACCTGAAAGCTGTGGCAAACATTTATCCTTCATCGAAATGGCCAATATATGGGTTAAATAGTAAGACTAGTATATGGAAAAATCAGGTTATCCTCTTAGAAAAAAATGTTAATGAAATTCTCACTTGTAAATATATACTATCATTAAAATCCTATTTTTTTTCGGGTTTAGATAACCTAAAACGTTTTGAGAATTCTTACAAAACAAATCAATCTATCAATTATATATATATATATATATATATATATATATATATATATATATATATATATATATATATATATATATATATATATATATATATATATATATATATATATATATATATATATATGTGTGTGTGTGTGTGTGCTGGTTTAAATAGAACCGACAGTAAATAAACTGAGCGTCTATCCACACTGAAGAGCTATGATACAATGAAACATTCTGTCTGTGGCTGAGAATATATATATATATATATATATATATATATATATATATATATATATATATATATATATATATATATATATATCAAATATATATATATATATATATATATATATATATGTATGGTTAATTTGAAACTCTAACATAAACATGTTAAAATCCCTACAAAGTTAGCTATTTTGTTTCAGCACTTCTGATGTCTTAGCAAGTGATGTTGTTTAATGTAGAACCACATTCAATACAATCACTTGATAACACACCCGAAGTGTTTAAACAAAATTGTTATTTTTGCAGTCATTTTATAACGTTTGTGTTATAATTTTGGAATAAATTATATTTGATCTACTCTGTATTGAGCACTCGTTTAAGAACAGCGTTTTAGTTTATTGGAATTTATAACGTATACACCATTCTAATACTTGGGTATATATATATATATTGTCAGTGAAAATGAATACCCTACCGCCCCTTATTAAAATGATTGTTTTTCTCCATATACATAGAAACTAATATTATGAATGTATGTGCTTATAAAACTCCGTAAATTTCAAAATAAGTTATTCCAAAAAATCGCTTGAAAATGAAACAGAACTATGTACGTTAATTTAATTGAGAAGTTTCAGCTTCTGTTTTTGAAATATGGTAATTCCTGTGTACCGATGGAATCATATTTTTTTTTAATAATTATAATCTTGGCTATACTTGTGTATCGAGCACTGTTTTTTATATTTTTTTAAATAAAAATAAAACTAATAAAGAACTTAGGATAATCAATCTAACGGTTCTTTTCTATCTTATCAAAGTATTTGCACACACACATACACGCACACGCACACGCACACACACATATACATATGTATGTGTAATATATATATATATATATATATATATATATATATATGCACACACACATACACACACACACACGTATATATATATATATATATATATATATATATATATATATATATATATATATATATATATATACAATGGTATTCACCGTTTACCGGGCCGATAACTATTGGAAGTAAAATATTGTAGAGTAAGAGAAACAATTTACGTGGATATATGCGGAAGATAACGGTGAACTTTCGACTTGAACAGTATTCAGGGAAATATTCTCTTAGTGGTCGGTTTACCAAAGTAGCGGTTCCTAGGAAGAAGCTACTCGAGTGAAACTTAAATTTTCCCCAATGGAACCCGAAAGGAACGAGTGTGGTTCGCTAACATGCGCATAGCATGACGGATGTTAGCCGTCAATTTTAAAGCAGATGGAACTCATGAATGTTGTTCGTCTGAACAATTCCCATGTAAATAGTGATATATCAGCGAGAGGCTTGAGACGTTTTTGTTCGCAAGAAAGGAATTGAAGGCTGAAGTAATATGATGTTACCCACAAAGATGAGGAACCGTTTTGGGACTCTATCGAGAGTCGTAAATAAATAGTGGGTAAATGAAGAGTGGGCAGCTCCTGCACATATGTGGAAAGAGTACTCCATATTTGGCCTGACCTGGCTCTTGGAAATGTGTAGGATAGCAAGTAGTCAAATGACAGAAATTGAAATAAAAGAGGAAAAGAAAAAGTGAGACATTTTTGCACTCCCTTCCTTACACAAAGCAGGAATTAAGAACGTTGGAAAACCTAAATAAATTTCATAACATTTGGAGTGGTGCAGGAAAAAGTCCGTTTTTACATAATCTTTATTGATGTATCGTATGTGCAAGGTCCAATAATCTCAATAGTGGCTCAAGGCACTGATCATCTGCCACAGAACATTCCTTAACTTTGAGTGGTGATAATTCTGGATCTAATATAAAATGAAACTTTTGGGAGAATATTCCTTTTTTCTGGCCAGTGTTTCTACATATATAACCCATTAACTGAGTGATTTAGCCTTCCGTCAGCTATTGTAAAATGAACGTAGCTTAGTAATTTTGTGTCTATTATGGTGATTTTCAAAGCCGAAAGTATTCAACACCCAGTGAGGATCGAACTCACTAGCCAGTCGTAACTGATCTAGCGAGGCAAGTTCGCTAACATTACAACCACTTCGAAGTGTCCTTGTGTCTATGTATTACAAATTCCGGAAGCCCTCGGAGGTCCTTAGATAAGTTAGGTTTCATCTCTAATAGAACATATGAAATGTACTGCGAAAGAAATAAACATACCCAGAAATATACACAGATATATATGTACACACATCACAGATAGATAGATAGCTAGATAGATAAAAATGAATACTAGATAGATAGATAGATAGATAGATAGATAGATAGATAGATAGACAGATAGACAGATAGATAGATAAAAATGAATAATAGATAGATAGATAGATAGATAGATAAAAATGAATAATAGATAGATAGATAGATAGATAGATAGATAAAAATGAATACTAGATAGATAGATAGATAGATAGATAGATAGATAGATAGATAGATAGATAAAAATGAATACTAGATAGATAGATATATAGATAGATATATAGATAGATAGATAGATAGATAGATAGATAGATAGATAAAAATGAATACTAGATAGATAGATAGATAGATAGATAGATAGATAGATAGATAGATAGATAGATAGATAAAATGAATACTAGATAGATAGATATATAGATAGATAGATAGATAGATAGATAGATAGATAGATAGATAAAAATGAATACTAGAGAGATAGATAGATAGATAAAAATGAATACTAGATAGATAGATAGATAGATAGATAGATAGATAGATAGATAAAAATTAATACTAGAAAGATAGATAGATAGTTAGATAAAAATGAATACTAGATAGATAGATAGGAAAGAAAGAAAGAAAGAAGGAAGGAAGGAAGAAAGAAAGAAGGAAGGAAGGAAGGAAGGAAGGAAGGAAGCTGTAAATGAGATAAACAAGTTATATTCTTTCGCACCAGTTACGGAAATCGTATAACCCTCTTGGAGCTCTGCTCTAGTCTTTTTATCTTATTCTATATTCATTCATATGGCGTAATTCACTTACAGGCTTTGGAAAACAAACCTAAAGCAAAAAAAAAAAAATGTGTATATTAAATTATCGAAAAAAAGACAACTTTCAGTTTGGTAGAAACCTCGTTTTTTTCATTCTATCGATAGAAAGAAATATCCTTTCTGGGCAACAGCGCCACAGTCAAGAAAAAACGAATTAAGATGAGGGAAAACAAGGAAAATGATCACTTAATGCTGGACAACGTTAACCATCTTAGCATGGCGGGAAGCTATAAGCGAAAACATCTTTTGATAGGATCCAAACGTATTTTTATTTCCAACATTTGCAGACAAACCAAGTTATTACAAAATTAAACAAATGGTAATTTTTTTTCTAATTTAATGAAATCTTAGGAAAGCAAACGAAACTGTTTAAGCAAGCAAGTTCCCCGTTACCGAATGAATTGCCTACGTGACTTCATGCATTACAAATGAGAAGTTGCAATCGATGGAGGCATGATGGGAAAATCATTAATAGCCGGCTTTAACTCTAGACTTTTAATGTATAAGAAATAACTTCATTCTATGCAACATAGATATCTGTTTAGACATTCCCAATGGTTTAATATATTTTCGGAATTAATCGTATCACAAAGAGAATCGTTATTTTTACTTTCATAATCGGTAATCTTCAGGCTTGAGTAAATGCATAGAATATGTTCTCATTTTACAAGGAAGAAGGTACCTGGCTCCGGAGATTCTAAACCTGCGGGAGCACATCACTAAATTTGTAATTTGATAAGCAGTAATTCTAATATTATTATCATTATTAATAACGATATCTATTTATCAAGAGGAAGAGAGGATAAAATATCGACAACAGCGTGAGAATAGTCACAGGGATTGGGCAAGGTATGTATTACTCGAAGGTAATACCACATAAAAAAAATATCAAATAAATATTGTGTTACATTTTGTCATAGTGGGTGGGGGCAGTAAATAACCTCAGAACACAGTTGAAATATTTCGCCAGATTTATTTCATAAGATGAAATTCCTATGACGGAATGATGATGCTGCAAATAAATATGAATAAATATTTCCAGGGAATTTATTATATGAATATTTGCATCGATTTGCAACACCCAATACCTACCCAAGGAGGAAACACCCATGCAAAACTCATTTGAAAATCTCCAATATCCTTATCACTTCATCCACAGAGTTAAGAAATGATATGCAAAAACAAGACAGAAATAAAGATAACATTATCTATAACAATAAACCTGACAAAACAGATATATAATACTACCCTACCAACTCCATAAAATACACGATCCCAAAAAAACATATCTAATCTAAACAAAATCAAAATAGTCACAACTACTTCCAAAACAATTAGGGATATGATAAGAGCAAAAATGATCTATAAAAATAATAATTCAGAAGCAGTCATATATAGAATAAATTTCGAAAGCTGTTCCACGGAATATATTAAGGAACTATTCAGAAATAAAAAAAAAAACAAAAAAAAACGTATCTAGGAATATATATATATGTGTATACGAAAAATTATTTCTACTCAATAACATAGAGAATAATTTGAAACATACTCGTTAGCGTCTTCCCAATAACCGTTAGCATAATACAAAAGAACTTACTACACATAATGCACACTTGACCTGTATGTATATACAGTTGAGTAAAGTACAATTCACAGGGTCAAAATATTGCGTTCAAGCTTGAAATAGTCTGTCACTACTTGTTATTCACCTCAGTGTCCACTATATATATATATATATATATATATATATATATATAAAAACAGTAAGATATATAATCCGGTGTTCTTATAGATATTTTCATTTTTACAAAATAGTGCTCACTGTAAATTTACAGAGCATTAATATTATATATTAAATGATTTAAAATATGTTTTCCGCTACACAATTCTAACCATGTTTCAAAAATGGAAGCTGAAAGCTCCGAATTTAATTTTGTAATTAAATTAAACACATTAGTTCCATTTCATCCTCAAGCGAAGTTTTGAAACATGGTTAGAACTGTGTAACGAAAAAACATATTTTAAATCAATTAATATATATATATATATATATATATATATATATATATATATATGTATGTATGTATATATATATATATATACATATATATATATATATATATATATATATGTATGTATGTATATATATATATATATATATATATATATATATATATATATATATATATATATATATATGTATGTATATATATATATATATATATATATATATATATATATATATATATATATATATATATATATATATTGCTAGATACGTTTTTGATAGGGTTATGGAATTTACGTAAGCCAATGATGCTCTGTCATAAATCGATGAACATTTGTTCAAAATTAATGAAAAAAATTATTAATTTATTTTACCTCCTGAAAAAGGTCACCCCCGCACTCCACCCATAAAAAAACATGGAAAATTCGCTTTTATCTTATACGCAATAAGGGTAAAATATCAAAATATTTCAGAGTTTAGTTTGGAATTTTCTAATAGTGTAATTGGATAGTGTATATACGTGTGTGTGTGTACGTCTGCACGTCTGTGTGCACATGTATAATAATAATAATAATAATAATAATAATAATAATAACCGAATTGCTGCCTATCAATATACATAAAATCATATAATACTGTGTAACCGGAATTTAAGTCAATAAAGACATCAAAAACTACCTAGAGCAATAATTCCTATAGGCAAGTGATTAATCACGAAACTCTGAGTCGATCTCCAATCGATGGTGCGTAATTACTTCTGATACTCTAATGCACGCATATTCGCGCCCGCAGATTACGAACACACGACGTTGAAACATTGGTTCTTCATAAAATAACCGAATTTAAATAATGTTTAGCCTGGTCAGTACCTGGATGGGGGGCCGCTTGGGAACACTGAATGTTGTAAATTTGGATGTTGATTGGTGATATATATATATATATATATATATATATATATATATATATATATATCACCAATGCACGTATAGGATAGAGGTTTGAATCCTGTCGGAGGATGAATATTTTCTGTTAAAATTTCTCGGACATTCAGGCCGGTTAATGTTGTTTAATACTGTTTATTATAAACAGAGCATTTACTTAAATATTTGTATCTATAAAAAGAATGTATAAGCATAAAAATGTTTTAAAATAATTGTCGGACTTTGTCCATTTCGTAATGTGTGACGTCATTTGTTTACATTTGATACGCCATGAGCAGATATGAATTTACGTGAGAGATTCATAGAAGATTGAAGTTCAAATACAGTGAATTCGACATTGCTAATCGAACGCTCCTCTGTGGCCAAATCGGTTAAATGCACGTCAAGCTAAATGACGGGTCCGTATAGGATACAGGTTCGAATCCTATCGGAGGACGAATATTTTCTCGGACATTCAGCCCGGTATATGTTGTTTAGTACTGTTTATTATAAACAAAGCATTTACTCATATATTTGTATCTATAAGAATATATATAATAATATATATATATAATTATTATTTATTTATAAAAATATGATTCCATTTATTTAAAATATATATATATATATATATATATATGTGTGTGTGTGTGTGTGAGAAAAGTGTATATAAATATAAATAAATATATATATATATGTATAATTATTTATATATTATATGCGCGGTACTTATTAGAAAGCGCTCAATATCAGAGATAGAGCTAACATATTTGGTTGGATAGATGTGATTTTGTAACCCTGGGTTTCACGCTTAGTTTGTCTGACGATCGCTAAAGCGTGAAACCCAGGGTCACAAACTCATCTATCCAACCAAATATATATATATATATATATATATATATATATATATATATATATATATATATTTAGTCTGATTACAATTCCACAGTTAGGCAACAACAAGACTTAGATGGGCGACTGCTTAGGAATACCAGGTGCTGTAAGTTAGGATATGTGGACGGTGTAATGAATAAGGGCACATAATTGGAAATCGGAGAGCCGTGTCCGAATTTTATCCCCACAGCTGGTTCAGTGGATCTTAGTAAATCATTATTGTCTCTAAAATATTCTTTCAAACTAAAAATAATTTCAGGCTTTGAGTAACAGGTAAAAGTTGATCACCGATGATGACCAGTGTCGATAGTGGTCAGGAGGTAGATGGATGACTGCTTGTTAATACCAGGCGCTGTAGGTTTGGATGGAGGGTTGCAGTAATGAATAACGGCTCGGTATTAGAAGGCGAAGAAATTGGCGTTTTTTTAAACCTGATAGATCGTAAAATACAAATCAATCCCTCACTCTCTGTCTCTCTTTATCACTTCCCCCTCTCTCTCTCTCTTCATCTCTTTCACCTCTCTCTCTTTATCACTTCCCCCCCTCTCTCTCTCTCTTCATCACTTCCCCCCCTCTCTCTCACACACACAGACATGAACGGTTGCTGAAATGTTCTCGGGCTTAATGAAGTACACAGGTACTGATATTTTTTCACCATTACATATCAGATTACTGAATATGCTATGAGATACATGCAGAAAATATTTATTTAAATCTAATTTCACTATTTGTTATCGGCAAAGTTTCGTCCGAGGAGGTAGACAGGACCTGAATCCGTTTAGGCGGGTTCAAAGCGAATAGTTATGGCCGAGCCTACGGACACGGAGTACCCAAAATAAACCGGCCTTGTGTCACATACACACTCGTGAAGGGGCTGTTAAATATTAACAGTCGACCAGCCTGTCATTTCTGTCGAACTCTCTGCCTTGGCAGAGAGGAACCTGGACGAGGGCAAAGTTTCGCCCGGAGAGTTAGTCAGGCACTGAAACAGTTTATGTGGTTTCTAAGGGAATATTTTTGTCCGAATTTATAGGCTCGGAGTCCGGGGAGGTAAACAGGCACTGAACCCGTTTATGCAGCGTCTAATATTTTTGGCCGAGCCTACGGGCTCCGAGAACCCACGATAAACTTGGCCTTGAGCCACATACATCCATCGTGGGGGGATGTTAAATATTAACTGCTGAATAGATCTATTTGTCTGTGCTGGTCAACCTCGCTGCCTCCGGGCACAGCGGATCTCCAGACGAGGCTATGTCGAAGGGCAGAGTCTTGTCTCGGGAAACAGCTAACCGATCCCTTTTTATACGGGTTCTACGCAGAATTTTTGGCCGAGCCTACGAGCTCGGATTGCCCCACATAAAACTCGGCCTTGTGTAACATCCTACCTTGTGTGAAGCCTGGTACATATCAACAGTCGAATA